CCCCATCAGCGTCATTCACCCGTTCCTCATCTTCCAGCCGCTCCTCGTCCGCACCGGAGTCCATCAAATTGGAGAGATCAATGGAGTCCTTGTCCTTCTCCACCGGATCGATGATGTCGTACCAACTCTGCTTAAGCACAAAATCAACGTTGTACCTCTTCCTCCGAGCTTTATTCATGTCCCAATAGCTCTGTCGACCAGACCACCTCTCGTGCGCCTTCAACTTCCTATAGTACTCCAAGATCTGGTTGAACTTATTTTTACGCTGGTCGTCTTTGCGGTTGTAACCCTTCTCTCGCATGCGCTGCTCCACGATCTTCCAGAATCCCGCTTTCAGCCTGGCGCAGCCGTACTGCTCGGTCTCTTCACCCATGAGCACCTTAACCTCGTCTCGGAACCGACATAGCCAATCGGTTTCGGTGTCGCCCCACCTCTCCGTGTTTGTCGGAGGCGAGCCCGAGCGTGGCGGGAGACCCGTGGAAGTTCCACCCCCCGACTGCTCTGTCGGTGGCATTGCCCGGGACCCGCTGCCGGTCGAGAGAGGAGACTGTGTGCCTGTGCCTGCGCCTGCAGTGGGGGGCCAAGGGGGAGGTGTCTGCTGCGGGCCTGATTGTGGCCCAGGCGCAACACCTCCATGATCGACGTCGTTAACAGGTCCCGCAGCTGGAAGACCATGCTCGTTTTCGCGGATAATGCGGTTGAGCAGGTAATTCGACTGCGTTGAAGGACCATCAGATCGTGATTGCGTCAGACCGCCATCCGGGGAAGTGCGTCTCCACACAGCATCACCCTCATGTCCAACCGGAGACACTGACATGGCAGGACTTCATTCATTACATTGCTGCGTGTCACTCCCTCCAGACGCAGTGCCCGAGGCACCGGGAGTGCCATACCCAATTCCGACAACCCGGGGACCAGGGCCGGCACACCCTCCCGACGTCCCTTCGTTCATGTCCAGGGCCAGCCCCTCTGCAATTCGCAGTGCACGCAGTCTCAGACTCTGACTGAGACTGTTCTCATCCTCACCTCCCAGCCCGATTCTGAACCCGCGAACAGGAGTCACAAGCGATGACAGAGGTGGACCACCTGTCACAGCATTGGAAGGCCGGAGGCTGCCGCCCGCACCGTCCGTGACCTGCCACAACGACGGGCCGTGGACCCCAACCCCCCTCGCTGCTTCGGCCGAGCAGTGGAACCCAGGAGACTGACATGGTCGCTGCAGTTCTTGAAAGCCCGATGGAGGGGTCAGTGCCCCTACACTGTGTTCTGGCGGGTATGGGGACTGGGACCCACCGCCAAGCACTGACACACCGGACTGCGTACCACTCACACCTTCGCGTAGGATGGTTTGCCCCSGGACCTGCGTCGACTGCAGYGGCCCACCATCCGGTCCGCAAGSGCCGAAGTCCTGGGACTCGGAGTATCCCCAGTYGTCGATTGCAGACAGGCCGGGGTTTTGGCTGTGGTTGGCCATGGACAGTGAGGGCGTCTTCTTCAACCTTCAAGGACGATGTGCTGAACGAGGGAGGATGAAACAAACGCCCGTTTTGCTGCCTCGGAGACGGAGGAAAACGGAATGGATGCGACAACAAAAACACAGAGAGATAGAGGCTCATGGGGACTCACTGCATGAAGGCCATGCCCGATGGAAGGAGGGCGGAAAGGGACTGCTTTCGCGCCACCCGACTCTTCGGACGGTCGGATGAATCGTACAGATGGTTAGGAAGGGTGGAGGCGCTCTCTTTTCGTACTTGGCCCGTTTCCACATGCAAACTTTCCGTATCGGGAAAGTTTGCCCGGTTGCCTACGTATTTTCGGAGGACAGTGGGGGCTGCACATAGAAACGGCGGTAGACCAAATTCTCGCGCCTCCTATGAACTTAGACTGCGGTGTGCCTCAGGTTCAATCCCACACAACGGACAACCTGACACCGTTTTTGGGGGCGTGTCCACACAAACGACGTCGGAAAGAGGACGTTCCCAACTTTTTGATTCGACTTTCACCCAAAAAAACTTGGGCGGGAAGCTTCAAAAATACCCCCTGGGTCAAAAAAACATAAAATTGAAGCTTCCCGCCCAACGAATGTGGCCAACAAAAAGAGCAACAAAACATTTATAAAAGATGGTACTGGACGTCGGCGACTTCGGAAACGGCGGGTTGGGCAAAAACACGACGGCGCTCGATCTCCACTGCAATCGGGGGCTCACGTGAGTCACCCCGGGCCGCACGTCTTTGAAAGCCCAGCCTCGAAGCGTAACTCTTGGCTAGTGGGACTTGGCCCCAGCAGCGGTAAGAGAGCCACCAGGGATTGAGGCTTCGGCTGTTGGCCCGCAAGCTCCCTGTCTTACCAAGTTTCTCTGTCTCCAATCCAAGTACTAGATGATGTGGCGAAGTTCTTGTTTAATCTTTCTTGTAGAGTACTTCAAGCTGTTGAGTCACTGAAACAACATGCGCCAGTACTATGTCAGTCCTCTGACACCACGGTTGCCACAACACAGAGTAGATCTGAAGTTTTTTTTTTTTTTTTTTTTAGATAAAA